CACGTACACACCCTGTTTGTGAGATAATGATATTCATGCTATTGGAGTGTGAAGTGCTGTGCAGGGTGATCGCTCTCATGCATTTGGGAGACACTTGTCTGAAAAGGGGGTTGATTTGTGAATATCTTTAGGGGAAAATAAAGGGTGTGTCTCTTAGTGCCAGCTGCTTTCCTGGGTGGCTTGAGAGGGCTGGCAGCAGTGGTGTGCTATACTGCAGATTTTGATATTGATCAGATAACAAATAAATGGCGCCGGTGTTGCCGATACCATTACCGATGATTTTTACTCATAAAGACAGCTTATGTACAGGAGAGCAGTGCGCCATGATTTATGAGATGAGGTTTATTTTTCAAAACAAAGGACAAATGTGCAAATTCTGAGCCTACATGTTGCTGCTCAGTACCGCCGAGTCATGTGACTGCACCACAACTAAAAAAAGCAGAGCAGGGAGGAGAGGGCAGCGCAAAGTGTGCCAGCAGGAGAGGAGCGGTGTTTGCACAGACATGTCTCCTTCTGAAATTAGAGGAGACAAATAAGCTAAAGCATCGATCATGTTGTGATGATATCGATCTAATACCAATACCGGTGTTGGTATCGATACTATCGACATTTGGATCAATCCGTCCAACCCCTAACTTGCAGGCGGTTCAGGCATCCCAGAAATATCATCACACCAAACCCTAACCCCATAACCCTAACCACAACCACATTCAAACCCCCAACCCTAACCCCGACCCATTTTTGTTTGTTTTTTCCACATTGGAAATCTATGACATCATAACAACATGACTGGTGACTTGCACTGCTGAACCTGGACCAACATTAATTATAATGACACAGGGACTACACCAACACTGGGATGCATCAGATACACTCGAGATTCAGACCTCTGTGCAATTTGACTGCTACATGCTGGAATATGTGAAACACAATTAGAGCATGCCTGTATCTGCTGCTTGTTAAATAACTAATGTGTTGTGTAAGAGTTTTGCAAAAAAGGTAGCAGACTCTTGACCAGCGGCCAGATTTGTTTGGTTTTTGTTGATGGGGGGGCTTGACTGAGCGCCAGCCCCTTTTGTGCTGCAGCCGCCCCAGCTGGACTGCGGGCTGTGTGGACAAAAAAACAATGAGGTAAATAACACGGGAACTGTGCAGCAGGGTACACGGCCCTGCCTCTTCCTGTCTCCGGTGCCGCACACCACCGCCTTCCTCTCTTTGTTGCACCCGGTTAACCATGCCAATACGTCCGTCAGCATCAACTTAGCAGGCATCGAACGCACCCGAGTCCCTGCCTTCTTCCTGGTCTCCTTCCATTTAGTTGCATTCTTTATTGACGCGACAAAATTCACACATTTCTACAGTATGCGGCTGTAATCTTCATCTGTCATTTGAATAAACAAAACAAAAAAGCAACTAACTAATCTTGCAGGATTTCTTGTTGGTGTGAGACAACACAACACACCCTCTTCAAACACACAAATCTGAGGTCAATCCACTTTGCAGGAAGAGAAACAAAGCTTCCTCTGGACATCTGATCGAGAGGGATAAAGGGCGATAACAGGTTTTCATGCAAGCAGGTGATCGGCGTAGTGTCATACATCGAGTCGTACATTTCCGCCCTGAGCTCAGGCGAGAAACACAAGCCTGAATAAATCTCACCTCTGGAAAAGGTGAGATTTATTCAGCACTTGGAAAAGGAAGAGCACACCACAGGCTGGACATGAAAAGAAGCCTATTTTAGAACAGACCAGCACACAAAAGCCTGGCTCATGCAGACAGGAGGCAGGCGGCTGCTGGGAGCTAAGCAGCAGAGGCAGCAGCAGCAGACAGGCAGACAGACAGACAGACAGGCGGCATGCCCACCCAGACTGTGTCTGATGAAAAGCTCTGTTCTGGTGAAGAGCATGCTGCACAAGAAACAAAAGCTTTTCAGGGAATGAAACAATGCCCTCCGGTATCTGTTTGTGACTTGAGAGAAAACGTGCAACTTTAACCAAAAGCCAGACACACTCTACGCTCTGCTCTTTAGTTGCCTTTTCCTTTCCCGCTGGCTGCCTCACCCTTTTCAATTAGTGTCATCCAATTTGAGATTTGTTCGCTCCAACTGGGACAGGCTGACGCGACGGGCAGGTGGGCATTTGGGATCTGGCTGGTGGAAATGTGACTTTGAGGACAAAAGAATGTTCAAGACCTTCCGGAAAAAACAAAAGAAATGTAATTTCAATTTGGAAACGCCTTGTGGGAGATGAACCTGTTAAGGAGAAACATGAAAAATATTCCAGATATTACAATCAACAGGTCTGAAATGCACTGAAGGTTTTTGAATTCTTGATGCAACAGTAGCACCGAGGGCAGACAATGCAGGCAACTTGATGCATGGGGTGCAGCAGTAATGTGTGTGTGTGAGAGAGAGAGAGAGAGCGTGCATGAGTGTGTGTGTTCAGTCGAGCATGGAGAATGGAAGAAAAGGGTCTGAGGGGCCTAGAGGGAGGGCAACAGACAGCCACGAGAAACTCGGACAAGAGAGTAGGGTGACTTGCAAGAGGTGACATCATCCTTTATTTGAATAATCCCCCAGCCTGGGAGGTGATTGGCTCCTCTTAGAGAAAGCAGAGCTCCTCTGCTGCTATTCACCCTTTTCAATTTCAGTATGGCGCGCTGTCCTAGTGAATGCTGCCTTCAAGGACTCATAGCGAGCTCCTGTTTCTGAGGACGAAAAGAAAGACGTACTGGGAGTGTAAGTTCCTCTTTTCTCTCAGTGAACATGTGGTGTCGGGATCTGCTAGATGTTGCCATGCAACACAGAAAGACCCAGACTCACAGAACGATAGAGACTAGTACTTTTTTTTTTAACATGATGCAGTTTACAATTGATCTTCTTCTTCTTTCAGCTGTTCCCTTTATGGGTTGTCACAGTGAAGCATCTATATCACTAGCAACCTCCTATGAAGTTTTCCTCTTTTCTTCCTGCCTGGGAGATCCATCTTCAACATCCTGACTTTGTCTCCAAACTGCTCAACAAGAGCTATCTGCTATGTACTCATTTCTAATCCTGACTATGATGCTCACTCCCAGGGAAGATCTCACTATCTTCAGGTCTGCCACCTCTAAGTCGTCCTTCTGTCTTTGTATCAGTACCACCGTCTCCAAATCACTCATCATACCAGGTCTCACTACCACTCACTCACTTTTAAACTTCTCCTTTGACTCTTTCTGCTATCCCTCTGTCACAAATCACCCCTGACACTCATCTCCAACTGCTCCACCCTGCCTGGACTCTCTTCTTCACCTCTCTTGTGCGCAGTCCATTGTCTTGGATAGTTGATTCCAGGTATTTAAACTCACCTATGCTCACTATCTCTACTCCTTGCAGCTTCACCTTTCCATCCATCTCCCTCTCATTCACACACATGTATTCTGTCTGGATCCTACCGCCTTTCATCCTTCTTCTCTCCAGTCCAAACCTCCACCTGTCCAGGCTCTCTACCACCTGTTTCGTGTGTTTCACCATGCTTATTTCTCAATAAATGTGGAATTATACAGTTTCAGTGCTAAGAGCAGGCATGACATGTCTTCTGTGGGTCTGTGGGAGTTTTGTTAATTCTGTTTGATTACTTTATATCTCATCAACATCAATACAGGAAATTTTTTATTTTTTTTGCTTTGCATTTGTTTGCTCTTGAAATAGTCAATCCTCATAATCAAACAATTTAAAGTTTCAAATAATAAAGCCAATATATGTATCAATAATCCCTGTGAGACAACGTGTCAGCCTTCAGTGTCTTTTAAATTCTCAGTTTTAGACAGGCCTTATCTGCTCATGACTCTTTATGATGTCATAGAGAGCGAGTAATCCTAATATGGTCATCTCAGGCAGGCCTCATCCACCTGCTTGTTCAAACCTACTTTTTAACATGAAGCTAAAACTCTTTTTCAGACTGAACTCAAAAGGGATGCCAGGTATAAGAAAAACTGGGTTTATTATCAGATAACTGCATGGTTGCATGGTGGTGCAGTGGTTAACACTGATGCCTCACAGCAAGGTCCTGGGATGGAGTCCTTTCTCTGGGGAGTTCTCCCCTGTGTCAGCATTGGACCCACCTACCTTGTGACAGCTAGGGCAGGCTCCCTGAGGAGGATGGCTGTAATTATGTTGATCTAGTTTTCAAAGAATAAAAACATGGAGTTAAAAAATGAGCATAACAAGTAAAATAACATAAACTAGCTCACTTGGGCTGAATCTATGGTTTGATAATGTCCTAGGATTATCTTGAAATTTTAAAATAATGATAATAATAGTGATAACAATAATAATACGTGTTTATTATTTATTTATTTATTTGGTGATGCTTGTGGATTTTGTTTGTTACCCATCGTCAAAAATGGTCTACCTGCTAACCTGCTGCAAACTGAAGCTTTATGTAGTTTATTGTTCTTCGAGACATGTAAATGGTATTCATTTTATTAAGTAGCATTAACTGACGGTAAAACGGCAAAAAACGAAACAAAAATTCAACGATCCCTTCACATTATCAGTATCAGTCAAATATTACGAATTGCTATAGATTTACTTACAGATTTACTTAATTTTTTATAGCGGGTCTCTCATACGGAAACCTTTCCCAATTCCCACTTTTTCCAGGGGTACCTGAAGGCGGCGTCAGCCTTCTCCTCAGCCTGTCCATCCATCCGTTCACCGGTCTACTATCGTGTGTGTGAGAGAGGAGCAAAGCCTCATTCTCCTCCTTTCTTCCTTTCAAGGAACGCGCATCACTTGTGAAAAACGGCGCTTGAGACCTAGAAGTTTTTTTTTGTCTGACGTCTCGGCTCTATTTGCTCAGCTCTCCCGCCCCTCATTCCCGGTTTCGTTTTTAATTCCCATCCTCACTTTCTGTCGTTATTTTTTGCCGGACTCGAGGATCCAGTCTGGGTGTACCGGCTAACACTTGGGCGTAGCTGGAGAGGATTTTGCTAGCTCGTCGCTGCACTAACCGGTAAGGTCGAGATTTCTTTAGCTTTAGCTAGCATGCTATTGTCAGTCAATAAGTCATGTTTAGCTAATTAAAAGCCACAATTTAAAATGATTTTCTGCCGTCCGTTACGGAGTGTCTGCTCTGCTTACTGTGTTATTATTCGTGTTTTTTATATTAACGCTAAGCAGCGCAGTGGAATCCGGCTTGCTCTTTGTGTGACTGGATTTGCGTCGGAAATGTACAAACGGGTTTGTTTTAGTGTCACTTCATCATTTTTGAGGGCGAGCCGCTCCGTTTCAGTCACTTTGATTCCCGTGCAAAGGGGCTTGATGGGGCGGTGGCAGGCTGCATGGTAGCTTCAAGTGCTCATAGGACCTGTTAGACCAAAGCTAAAAAAAAAAGGGAAAAGAAGCTAAATGCCTTTAAATCCACGCTATTGTTTATTTTCATAGTGTTTCCTCTCGCTGTGTGACTGTTTATCCACCCTTTTAACCTCTAAACTTTCTCTTCTTCTGACCTCTCCTTCCTTCTCCATCCTCCATCGCGGTTGCCCATTGTTCTGTGATGAGCCAACTAGTGTGAGTTGCTGAGCAATGTTTCAGCCGTCTCAGTGGGGGGAAAGAAGCTGGCAGATATCGTGCTAATAAATTTGCAGCTTTCGTTTTAACTCAACAGACCAACTTTGGGCGTATTTGGAGCATGTTAAAGCAAATCTCTGCGCAGATCCTGCAGGGAGAGTGTAAATCTCAGAGAGAGTTTGTGCACAGTCTCATGCTGGCATGTAATCAGAGGTGATTAATGTCACCACCATCACCACCACCTCGTCTCCAAAAAGTGATCAGCTATTGTGGCATAAGGCTGGAGGGGCTCCCTCGCTGATTCCTTTTTTTTGTTTGGGGGGGGTGAGTGAGTGCAGCAAGACAGATTAAGCTCCCTCTCTGCTGAACAATAGGGAGGAGAAAACACTGACAGTTCCCAAAGCCTTGCCAAGAGCGTTTAATAAACTGCAAACATGCAAGCATTAAAAATCTTTATCCTCAGCCTACAAGTGTATTCTTTTCCCCCAGCGGTGGCTCAGACAAGGGACATAAATTGTCTTGAGCTCTGTGGCCTTGGTGGGCACGGCTTGGTCAAATAATGAGCAGCGATCGACCGTGAGGAAACGCCATCCCAGGGCAACTAATACGGACACTTTTCAGGCTTGGGGTTTGGAGACCCTCCAGGACTCTTAAGTCAGGGGTGGGCTAAGCCATCCGTGAGTCTGCCGCCCCCCCTTGTTCTCTCTCTGGTGCGTGGATGAGAGAATGGCTGACTCATGGAGTCAGTGGGATGAGGCAGGCAAATGGAGGACAGACATGCAGCCTAATGCAATCATGTGAAATTAAATTTATCTGCCATTGAAAACCACACTCAGCTTTATGAAGTTATTTAAGATGTTTCAGAAAGATTATTACTTGGAGGGTGGAGATTAATGCCAGAGGCATTGTGTCTGTGTGTGTGTGGAGGGAGATTTGTCAGAAGCTAAACAATGAAACCGATCATTGTAATTAGGAAAAATCTGATGGAGTTATCTACTTTCTTTCTAGTTGTATCTTCTCTGTCTTTGTTTGTATTGCATCTTTTAGAAAATTAACATTTATCCCTCTGTCGTTTGTCTACTTTTGGAGCTGGAATCAAGGGTGTGGGTGTCTACAGTGTTAGCGGTGCACGAGGACTAAGCGTCGCTGTCTCAAATAGTCTCCCATAGCCCGCACCGCTACTACTACTATGTGTCCACTAAATGAAATGAAGAGTTGCTTCAGATTTGTACTTAATCACTTTAAAATAAACCTGACCAAAGTTTTAAATGATAAAATCACCATATGTAACACTAATCACAATGTCTCAGACTGTTTTTTTTCTACTCTGGGCTTTGTATGATGTCAGTGAGAGCAGGTAGTCCTAATATGGTCATGCTCAGGCAGATAAACCACGCCCATCTTATGTTTTGCCAGGTGCAGCCAATCAAAAGACATCTGCGTTTAAGATAGTGGGAAGATGGCTAAAAGAGCTTTTTTCAGACAGTGGGTGAACTAAATAAATAAAAATAAATAAAGCAAAATAAATTTGAACTGTGAATGAGCATACTTATACTAGAGCCCCATTAACAGGAACCATGTAGTAATGAGATTCATTAGCTAACTTAATGGTTGTAGCTCATATCTTTTAAAGAAGGATGTTATAAATGCTTTCTTAGGTCTTGCAGATTCACTGAGAGAAACTGTGCAGTAATTGTTTCTCTCCCCCTGCATTTGTCTGTGCAAAACATACCTAAAATATCTGAAATATGCATACCTGTTTTAGTTTTTTCAAAGAAAAGCTCTTTCATCAGAATTTGTTTCAAGGCAATTTAAATTCTAATGACCTATTTTGCCCTAAGCTGGCCTCTCGACCCATGCCTCGGTCTTGAGAGGGGGAGATGGTTGTTGCATTAATAGACCTGTGTGTCAGCTCGCCCTTAGTCAAAGGCCTGGTGTTGGTGGGTGTGTGACTCAGAATGACACCCCCCCAGCTCTGAACTTCTCAGCAGTGACAAGGACAAAACTGGCCCTCTGGTCATCGAGCTTTTTTCAGCCTGAACCCATGGCCCTTGCACTTTATGGCCTCATTAGAAATTACCACTATCGCCCCACAGCTCTCTTTTAATCCATGGCAACAGCTGCACAATAGCTTCTTGTTTGGAGATTATCAAAACACCAACAGAAACAGTATGTTTGGCTGCATTTCCTTTTGTTTGCTGGCTGATTGAGGTTTGAGGAAACCGCCGCGGGCACCGCATTGAATTTTCACAGTGAGGACAAAGAAGAGATAAACTTTGCTGTCGTCTGGCTGCTCTAGCCTTGATAGCAGCCTTGGTTGGTGGCGTCGCAGTTGTCAGGGCATGCAGTTGGCAACTGGCGACATGGTTTTGAGACTGTATTTGCCAGCAGCTGCAGTAATTTGCTGTGTTTGGGCTCTCTGAATTCCTCTGGTGGGAGGCTGGATAATGGACATGGTTCACAGCCCTGTTGCTAGGCTTCAAGACCAGATTTGTCATTGCACATTGTGTTTGTGGCGCCTTGATTTTTTTTTTTTTTTGCGTTTTGGTGCAATCTGGTCACCGATATAGTTAAAAAAATGGTCCAGACTGATGGTTGCTCTATCCTTAGTCATCCAATCTCCTCTAACAATTTTGGCTCTGAGATAATGGAGTCAATGTCGTCGTCCATACATCGCCATTGCCGTGTGTTTGTGGCTAAACTGGTTATAAGATAGAAGATTATATTAGTGTCTGGCCAGCCTACCCTCACCACAGGCTCAACAGGAATGATAGGCATTTGGGCCTGACACTGGTGCTTACCATAAGCTTACCATTACCATAAGCAGCTGTAACAGCCAATTTATTTCTCAGTCATATCAGTTTACCCTGTTGACATAAATCTTGCTTTGCCTTTTTCATTCTTTGCTCTAACATAAATCACCAACTTCCTATGAATTGCTCAAATAAGTGTCTCTGTCCTGGACAGATGTGCCGTTTTAAGGCCAGATGTGTGCTTCTCAGAAGGATGTATTTTGTAGGTGCAGATCAGCCTGACCATGCAACCTGTCTGCCATCCTGCAAGAGATCAGATTCCATCTGGAACGTGCCACGTTCCACTTAAAACGTGACGGCATAATCCTCTTAAGGACAGAGACGTTCCGGTTGTACATTGCGTGCGGAAGTCCGTGTCCCCCCTCTGTGAATCTCAAGAGAGCACCAGAGCCTCTTGGGCAGCAGCGTTTCTGCCCTTCTCTCCAGATGCCTCGGTTCTGGTCTCTTCCCCTGTCTCTGTATTTGCTCTATCTGGTGTCATTGATCCAAGCCACCAGCTGGTCCTGGGCTGGCCTGATCTCATTTACCCCCTGAGAGGAGCTTGTTTGTGGGCAGACGGCCCATTATGGAGATGATCCAGCAGCTCTTCAAGTTACAAATTAGCTTTAGATTCTCTGTTAGGTCCCCCGTCTCTCTCTGTGTCTTTCTTTTCTTTCTTTTTTTTTTTTTTTTAAAGCTGTCCTCTCTAAAACCATGTCATCAACATCTCTCTTATCTCCCAGGGGGAAGCGCTAACAGCATCAGAGGAACCTGCCTCACTAATGCACTTCCTCTGTCTGTTTCTGTCTCCTTCACTGCCCTGGCCATCTGTGGAGTTGCCTGCTTGGCTCCCCACTTTCTCCTGTGCGATCGATATCCACACAGTGGAGCTCTGCGCTGCCCTGCTGGTTGCCCCTGCAGGCGGTGGAGCTTAGCCAGACTGGAGTAGGGCCTTCGCCATTGGGGCCGTTGTTTGTAGTTGGGCTCTGTCTCCACCCTTATTGTTGTGGGGCTGATTGCCCCTCTAGCCTTGGCTCCACATAGTATTGTCTACTTTCTGGGACATACTACGGCCCCTTTAACTGCTTCATATTCCTTCCTTGTTCTTTCTTGCCTGCCTTCCTTGCCCCTCTCTCTGTTTCTGTGGACAGTTTGTGGACAGTTGAAGCTAACTGTTCAAGATTAGCATCTCTCTTTGTCCAGGGTTAATGAGCTCTGTCATGTGTTAATCTTCCTGTCCCCAGGGTGCTGAGTTTCCCTGTACCACACCACACTATGAGAACCAAAGGCTTCATGTGTTTGCATACTGTGTATATGTTTTATCTCTTTTCTTTGGTGTGGGTGGGGTTTTTTACTATACAGCATGGACATATTGTGCGCATTATTATTCTTTACCCTTTGCTTTAAAATTGTTCAGTAGTTGTTATTATATATTTTTTTATCACATTTACAACATTAACAAAATATTTTTATAGGCTTGTAAACTCTTAATTCAGTTGCTCACTTGATGACATTGTAAAATCTTAGTGCCCCTGAAGAGTCCTAAGGATTAGTGCCAGCCTTTCTGATCACATGTTTCTGTGATCCAGGTGACTGTCACACAATCTGCTGCTCCCTCTCAGCCAAGAAAAGTAGAAAAAAAGACTTGCAGGGTATTTCTCATGCCTCACTTTGTCTCACTGAGCAGCCCAGGGAACAACTGGAAATCATTCGGTAGGAATGACTATACTATACACCATTAAGGAGTTCACTTGACAAGGAGCAAAGAAGGCAGTAGATGTTTATGTTCGCTTTGGTCGTGCCATCTATAAGAGGTAGGTCTGGAGAACTGATGGCATCCACGTCCTTAAAATATTTCTCTTTTAATCGTATTTCCATCCATTTGGGTACATTTTCCATGTGATGTCTGGGAGAAAAATGCTAGATATTTTAATGCCTAGCAAGGGTGTAAACATCATCAAAGGAAAGTAGAACGTAAAGATGCCAGGCTACAACATAAATCAGACTTAAGGTAGTAGAGTACACGACTCTTAGATCAAAAGGAAAATGCATAATAGTGCTCTCTTGGATCTTGTGTGCACACAGGAAAAGGGTAAGAGTGCTGCCATGAAATGCTAATGAAAGTCAGCAACTTGTAGCAGGTACATGGGAACTAAATGTTGGAGATGTTAAGTGGGTCAAATTTGAAGCACTTACAACTGACAGCAAAGGATATAAATTTGTTCTGTGACAGGTTGGTAAATAGAATAAAGGGTTACAGAGCCTGTAATGTCCACAACCAGCTGGACAATCACAATCAAAACACATATAATGTGATCTAGTTTTGGAGTTTTGGGAATACAAAAAATGTTAAAAGAAGAGAGGAGTTAAAAAAGAAACAAAGTTGCATTATCAGCCAGATTTCTCACTTTGCAGAAGACTTTTTTGGAAGCTCACTGTGTCTCCCTCCTCCCGTTTGGCTGTCTCCTCACTCTGTCTCTCTCTCCCTGCTCACTCATCCCTCCCACGGTCTGTGGGGAATGCCATGGAGAGCGGCAGGCTTTGTTTGCACTTTATTTGTGTGTGGGACAGAGGCGGTTTTCCTGACCTCATGTTGGGGGTGTTTGAGGGGGGAGGGGAGGGGGGGGGAGAAAGCTGCGATTAGCATTAAGGTAGCGGCGCCACTCACAGCCATCTAGCTGGATTTATCGGCGTGTCACGCAGCCACTACATCGCGTACCTATCAGTTTATTTCCTTCATCCTTATGCACATCCTCATCATGCACATGGGGATTTGTTTGGTATTAATCAGTCTCTTATCTCATGGGTGAGCTGCCAGCCATTATGTTCAGTGCTGAAGCTGCGGAAGAGGCAGTCACATGCAACAAAACCAGCCCACTAAGTGGCACAGGCGTGAGTCTGTGGCTGCAGCGATGAAGTGATATAAACTTTAACTTCCGTATGCCAACTGAGTTATAGTCATAAAGGATACTATAGAGTACCTGCTAGTGTATAATTAAGGAAATATCTCATCTCTGGGTCTGAATCAGTGACTGATGCTGCTGTTGTTAGTACTCTGCCAAGACGTGGCTGAGAGTTGATGAAACATTCAGAAGTCAGATGTCTCTGATGTGCATCGCTGCCAGCCTCCTCAGCATCATTGCTATGTATTTGCTCTTCTCCATATCTTAAACCCACATTCTGTATCAGGGCTTTATTTGTACACAATTGAATCCCTGTCTTATGAGGACTCAAATAACGGCTGGTATGATTTGTACCCAACTAATAAATGAGTTCTTCTACCTCTTATTTTGCATTATTATTATTTTTTTCAACAAAGAAACATATACCAGTGTTACCCACACATATAAGCCCAGATATATTTGCAGATTCTCTTTAGTATTTTTCTTGCAAGCAAAAGAATGACCACACTCTTTTTTTTTGAATCTTCATTCGCTTCTACCCAGTAGTTATCCCCTCTTGGCTGAGCAGTCTCTGTTGTGGCGATCCTCTGTGTCATTCAAGGCGCCGCTCCAGATAGTCTCCCCTGGTCAGATTCCAAGTACATTGTCCTGGGCCGCAGGTGGCAGTGGTAGTCCTCAAGAGCTTAGTGGCCACTCCATTAGAGAACCTGCAGCAGGTGGAGAACTTGTTCACGTGTCCCTACACTGAGCTTACCAAGACTGCAGAGCAAAACGGAGACCGCTGCCTCCAGCTGCAGTCCTGGACTGTGGTACACCTGCAGGATCAGAGGCTTACTGGAGAGGCAGCTGATTATTGGAGATTTGTTTTTTCCATATTTGTAGTTTAGAACTACACTCTACTACAGACACAACCTAAGTCTCTTGAACCACTATAACTTTTAATGGTATGAAAAATGTTTTCTAAAAAAGTTTGGAAAAGCTAGAAAGACATTTATGGGTTTTATGGAGGATCATGCAAATATCCATTTCAAAGATAAATCCAGTAAATGGAGCCCAGTGTTCGTGATTGGGGATGGAGAGCTGACTGAGGCTACTTGTTGTAATTTAGACTAGGTTGAATGGACAATCTGAGGCACCGTGCCAGCGTGTGGCATCTTGAATGTGTCATTCTCCCCCCCTTCTTTGTTTTTTCAGAGAGCAGGAGTTATACGTAACCGTAATTCCATGCCTACGGTCAACCTCATTCGATAATTTCTGGTCGCAGTCACAAGTAAAGCTGCGTCAAGTCTGCATCAGCCCGCTCACCCATGAGCAGTGAGGCTGCAGGCAAGTTAGCCGTAAATTATTCAAGCAGCTCTGCAGAGTTGCGCGCTTTGAAGACAGAAGTTTGGAGCTTTTACGCCATTGAATGTGAAATGCAGAACAGAAGACAACATTAGATTGACAGCCAAACTGTGTGGCATCATTGAAAATATGAATATGAATTTACTTGATTTTATAAATGCAACAGTAAATCTGCAGTGGGCAGAGGCAGGAGGGGTGTTAAAGAGCACACGGCACTCTCCTTTATCTTGTGTTCGCAGTTTATGGAGATAAAAGCAGGTCAAATCCAGGGTCAAAGGCCACCGTATGCTCATTAAAAACTAGCCCTGACCCACCAATGTCCCGTCCTCTCACTGCTCACCAGAGCTGCTTTGCTTTGCCACCAAAATCACATTGAGGATTATTTTGGTTAATGCTGAGACCATAATTCACAATAATTTAATAGTTACTAAACATAAAAACTGCAGATTTCATTGATTGTTTTCTACTTACCGCTCTTTAGGCTGTTCTAAACATAAAGTTAAGTAAGCGGCATAAAGCAAAGATACTGAAATTATATTCATCTTCATAGAGAAAGTAAATGCTAAAAATGAAATAAATGAAAAGATTGATTAATCACATAGATTACAGCTTGAACCATCTATCCTCTTAAAGAGACATCAGTTATGCCTCGAATGATTCGATCAAGCTCAGGCAAGTGCGTGTCAGCGTTAGCAGCGTGCTACATCATCCACACAAGCTCGCTTTTTCTTCTTGCATCTTTTCTTGTGTCTCCCCTACCCCACCCCCACTGCACTCATCACCATCACTGCTTCCTCCCCCCACAATCCCTCCCTTTGACTACTATTTAGAGTACACCCCGAGGAGAGAAGAAGGCTCACAGAATGCATATGTGTGTGTACACAGTTGTGCACTGTGAAAGCAGACTTGTCTTTCCACCACAGCTACTCATACACGCTCTCGGGCAGTTGGTCGGCTTTGGTAAAGGTGGGATGGGGAAGGGGGTGGGTGTGGGTGTCACACTTTGATTTTAGTCTTTTTGTGTAGAATAGGCCAAAAGTCTGCAATTAGACGTGAAGGCAGACCACAGTGCTGGAGCACAGTTGACATTCGCTTGTCATTTAGCTTATAAGCGACGCTGCATCTTATTAATTTTAATCTGCATAATGAATCAAAGCAACCCTGCTGTGATTAAGAACATCTCTCTCTTTCCCTCTTCAGTCTTTAAATGTAAGCTGCTGTGTTCCCAATAAGCACAGCTGATATATACACACATACACACTGTAGTAGATCGTAGTCGATGGAAAAAAAGCACAAAGATAGGGGTGGGGGGTGGGGTTGAAATACCGGGTTTCCGTTTAACTATGCTGATGACCTGATTATTCACAAATGCCATTTTTGTGTCTAGACAGTCAGAAAAGCTTCGATCCCTCAGCAGAGTTGGATGCCTTCCAGTACTGACAGCTTTGGTCTAAACACTGTAGCGTGGCTGGGATACACGCAGAAGTGAGAACACACACATATACGCACACCCTCACACACACGTTATGTTTATGTCCCAGTGTGGGAATTAGGAAGGGATGATGCCTAGGAGGATGATCTCACCTTGCAGAGCTGGCTGGCCCATCATGAGCTTAAGGCTTATTAAGTGTAATAAAAAAACCAAATAAACAACATAAACAAATATCACAGTTTGCATGAAGACAAACTTGCAAGAGGCTGGGTGTAGACACAAGGCCCCAAAAACGAGATCAGCTTCAAAAACACCAGCTGATAACAGCGTTGGCAACATTCTGTGTTTATATATAAACACACTCGCAGTACACAGAAAACTATATGAGGGATTTTGGACTGTAGTAGCTGAACTTTAAACATGGCCATGAATCTGACACAGGGGTTATCACACCGCCTGTATGTGATGGACGGCCAGGGTGGACCCCGCCTCTCGTCCAGTGAATGGTTATCACACAAAGAATGTGAGCTGTGTGTGTGTGAGGGTGACGATGGGAGGGAGGGAAAAAAAGGAGTCCATTTTTGGTCTTTGCTGATTCCACGCTTGAACCAGTGCATTTGTCTTTGTATTTGTGTGGGTTTCTTTTGTTCTCAGTTACTGCGCAGCTCATCATTGAGGCTCGCAGGGAATTCGGTGTAGGACGCCGCTTGGACGCTGCGAGCATATGACCCACTGCAGAGGCCGACAATCACATTTTTACAAAGTCAACAATGCTGAAAACACAGAGGGTGGACATTTAATGTTTGCTGTGAGATAATCACTCAGACATAGAGGGTGGGGATGTATGTTCATCCTCTGTCGGCAGCTGTTAACTTAACTCTTAACCTTTTTTGGTTAACTGTAAAAAAACAAAACCCCAATAGGACATTTTCAGCTTTCTCTTCATCTGTTTCTGTAATTTTACACATTCATTTCTTACAGCTGAAGTCACATTTCTTTCATTTCCTGCAGCACTGTTTCTTTTCATGTCGAGAAACTAAGAAACACTGTTGAGATGACATCTTTTTCTTATAATAAGACATCTCAGCTAAATGTGTAGTTAGATTTCTTTACACTGACAGAAAGGGGAGTTCAG